GGGGGGAGAGCCCAGGGCTGGGGCAACAGGGGGTGCGGGTGCAGGGGGGGGGAGAGCCCAGGGCTGGGGTAGCAGGGGGTGTGGGTGGGGGCCAGGGCTGGGGGGGCAGGAGATCTGGGTGCGGGAAGAGCCCAGGGCTGGGGCAGCAGGGGGGTGCAGGTGGGGGCCAGAGCTGGGGCAGCTAGGGTGACCAGATGTCCCGATTTTATAGGGACAGTCCTGATTTTTGGGTCTTTTTCTTATATAGGCTCCTATTACCCCCCATCCCCTGTCCCGATTTTTCACATTTGCTGTCTGGTCACCCTAGGGGCAGCAGGGGGTGTGGGTGGGGGGGATCCCAGGGCTGGGGCAACACAGGGGTGCAGGGGGAGCCCAGGGCTAGGGTGGGGGGGGCGGCAAAAAAACTAGAGCTGGCTCTGTCCCTACCATTTACAGCAAGCTGCAGCATGAGGTTTCAGTTCCACACTCCTTCCCCCACCCTTTCCTGTTAATTGAGGCCAAGGGAATGCTGGGAAATGTAGTGCTTTCCCTGCTCCAGGGCTGGCTCTATAAGCAGGGAGCTAACTAAGGAACTACAGCTCCCAGGGCTCCCTGTTGGTTCTCAGCTCCCATGCTGGATTCTTGTACCCCTGCAAATTTGCCGCCCCAAGCACCTGCTTGCTTTGCTGGTGCCTAAAGCCGGCCCTGCCTCTGACTCACCTGTGTCTCCCCAGCCAGAGATAATGCAGGCCTGCCTGTTAATGGCAGCCTTCTCCTTCCTGTCAGGGAGGCAGATGGGCAGGACGTGGCGATTGAAGGAGAGGCAGTGGCTACCCCTGCCCCGCATCCTGACCAGGGCGATATCATTGTCATTGCTGCTGAACCGGTAGTTCCTGTGAAGGATGATCCTCTCGACGGGAATCTCCCTCTCAAACGCCTCCCTCACGCCTGTATGGTAATCGCCTACCCGCAGCAGGTAGCGGCGCACATCAGTGCCAAACCTGGCCAGGTGACAAAGAGCCGCCTAAGAGCTCACGTGGTGACCACCTGGGGCATGAGCACTGCACTGCTGGATCCAGGGCCATGCCCCTGGCAGAAAGGCCTCAGTACCACTACAGTGCCCACAAGCGCATCAGGTGAGAGCATTGCTGTCTGGTCACTTCACAAGCTGCCTCAGAGCCAGCTCCTCCCAGTCCCCAGCAAGTCAGTGCTAAGCAGGGGACTGGTGGTTCCCATTAGCAGTGAAGGGAACATCTGTTCATGCCGCCACCAAGCACCCCAACTCTCTGTCTGACATGAACCAGGCTATGAATTATCTTCTGGACCCTCTAGATCAGTGGTCCCCAAACTTTTGAGGGTCGTGACCCCCCTTACCCGTCTCCATGCCCTTCTCCCCCCCCCACACACACACACTGGGAGCGGGACTGTGGCTCCAGGGGGGTGGGGAAAGGGGGTGGGCAGTAGCCGGGATAAGGGGTTCAAGGTTGGGGCCACAGCTAGGGGTGGGTCTAGGAGCAGGGCCATGGCTTGGGGACGAGGCTGGGAGTGGGAGCGGAGCCGCAGCTGGGCTGCAGTGGGGGCCAGCAGCCAGGCCCATGGCCAGGTGCAGCTCTGCTCCTGGCCTTGCCCCCAGCCTTGGCCCTGAGCCAGGAACAGAGCTGTGGCCAGCAGCCGAGGCTTGGGGCTGGCATGGGATTGGGGGTTGGTCCTGCTTTGAGCAGGGGGTTGGACTAGATGAAATCCTGAGGTCCCTTCCAACCCTGATATTCTATGATTCTATGGGGCCAGGAGCAGAGCTGTGCTGAGGCTGGGGATGGGGCCAGGCATGGGGCTGGCAGACGTGGCTAGGGGCAGGACCGGAGTAGAGCTGGGGGCGGGGAGGGGCTGGGTGGTGCTCCCTCCCTGCCCCTGTGGGGGCTGTCCTGGGCCCGCTGCACCCCCCCCCCCGACGTTTCTCCACGTCCCCCTAGGGGTGCACACCCCACACTTTGGGGACCTTTGCTCTAGACTGAGGCAGCAGGAACATGTGACTGGACCAAAGCCACTCCAGGCTCCTGACCACCCCAGTTTACTGTTCCTCAAACTATAGGCAGGGTACCAAAGAGCAGGTTTATTCCACGCTATAGCACTTGGAAGTTACAGGCTCATGTGCCCCACACAAATAGCTCAGTAACCCCTGGGTCATGGCTTAGCTCTCGGCTGGCCTCTCTAGCAGCAGCAGTGCTGGGAGTGCACAGAGCTCATGGCTCCTGCAACTGTTTACAGGAACCCCGCTCCTCAGAGATCACATCCTCTTTGGAAGGAACTGATGCTATACGTGGAGGCAGGGCGGTGACTGAGTCAGACGGGATTATCTTCCCTGTCCCTTGCTCACGCCCCCCCACCAGAACTCCCCTCCCCGCCGTTACCTTTTGAAGCAGTGCGCTGCAGTCACGACCCAGCAGCTGTGGATGAGCGTGGCGCCACACAGCAGACGAGTGTCTCTGTGAAACCCCTTTAGCCGCAGTGAGGCCTGCCATGGCCAACCACCTCTGAAAGAGAAACAGGGGAATAATGGGCAGTACGCACACAATGGCATGGTGCTGTCCTCTCCCGCCCCACCCACACTGCCCCATCTCGCCTCAGCCACTTCTCATCCTCCCTTAGCGCTGCTCTTCAGTCAAGGTAACATCAGGAATCAGGAGGGAGGTAGTTAGTGAAGCTGTACTCACCACTGGGAGCACAATAAAAATCAAGGAGCGATTCCAGCCATATCACCTCCAGCTTCCTCAGCATTGCTAGTCACTGCTTTGGGGAAGACAGGAAACAGGCCTGGGATCCCTGTCCTCATCTTTGAAAGCAGAAACCAGCATTCCAAGTGACTTGCTGGGGGCAAGTAACAAGGACTGGAGTCCATGATGGACTGTCCCACAAGCACTTTGGAATATACACAAGTGGCAAAATGCAGAAAATAGAAACCAGTATTGCAATGCCTTTCAATTCACAGCTAGAGTCTGGGCATCACTGTTGCTTTAACACACATGATGTGGTGGTGGGACTGAGCATGAAGAGTCTTGGACTTCAGAAAAAGTCTCCAGGAGCCCTTAGGGAAATGGGTAATAGAACAATTGCAGCCCAAAGCTGGCAAGGAAGGACAATTGGTGGTATTTTCCAGGTTGCTTGTAGATGGAACAAAAAAATTGCCATACCAGATCTGACCAATGGTTCAACTAGTCTGGTATCCTGTCTCCAAGAGAGGCAGGCATTTGATTTGCTTGAGAAAGGTGTAAGATCCCCACCATGAACAATAGGCAATTATATGTCCAAGGCTGGATGTGGGCTTAAGTGTGGTTGCCGGAAAGAAGCAAGTCTAGGTACTCTTCAGTTCAATAGGTTATGTAGAGTTAAAGATCAGTGGGCATATTCTTATATACAAATAGTTTATCTCTGTTCCTCACATATGAAGGTGTATCCCTGGGTAATAGCATTCCTGCCAATTTGTAGCAATCATTTCTTAATTCAACTGAACATTAGAATACAGTAATATATTATTATTGCCCCATCCTTGTGATGGATGGTGCTAAGGCTAATTTCTTATATAATCCCACATAACTAACAATGATCCACCCTTGACAACTGTGACGCATGGCCAGAAAGGGTTAAACATCCTGCAAAATAAATAACCCTCAAAAGACATGTGGAGGGATAATGTTTGTGTATTTACATATGTATGAGTAGGATCAATGATGTAATCAACAGTCTCTGTCTATGCTGTATTCTGATAATTCAGAGATCAAAAGAACATCCTAGCATTTAAATGAATTGTAAACAAGGGATATCTCTGCATTCATCTCTCTTTGAGATTTATAGCAACTAACGTGAATAGTGGAGGAACAAGCAACTTGCCTTATGTTAATTCTATAGCTAAGTACTGGTGATGGACCTCCTTCAAAGTCATGCTGATTACCTTCTGAATTCCAACTTGTCAAAAAGGACATGAAATTGGATAAAAGATCCTTGGGTCCTGATTCTCTCATCTCAGATCTGCTTAGGCTTCATCAGGGGAAGTTTGTGTCACAAGACTGAAGTCCCAGTTAAGCTGGTACACCCTGAATGTGATATTTGGACATTGGACTATAACCTATGAACTATTTCTGAAAGAACTCTTTGCAACTACAAAGCTCACCATCTATGCTATCATAGAATCATAGAATATCAGGGTTGGAAGGGACCTCAGGAGGTCATCTAGTCCAACCCCCGGCTCAAAGCAGGACCAATTCCCAACTAAATCATCCCAGCCAGGGCTTTGTCAAACCTGATCTTAAAAACCTCTAAAGAAGGAGATTCCACCACCTCCCTAGGTAACCCATTCCAGTGCTTCACCACCCTCCTAGTGAAAAAGTTTTTCCTAATATCCAACCTAAACCTCTCCCACTGCAACTTGAGACCATTACTCCTTGTTCTGTCATCTGGTACCACTGAGAATAGTCTAGATCCATCCTCTTTGGATCCCCTTTCAGGTAGCTGAAAGCAGCTATCAAATCCCCTATGAATCTGGACCTCAATGAATTGAACTCATGTCTGTATGTATATTGATCTTTTAACCATACTCTCTCTGTTGTTTTTTAATAAATTTTAGTTTAGTTATTAAGAAATGGCTGTAGCGTGTATATGGGTAAGATCTGAAACATTCATTAACCTGGGAAGTAATGTGTCCAATCCTTTGGGATTGTTGGAACCTTTTCTTTTATATGATGAAATAAGATTTACAGAAATTTTCATCATATTTGACGTGAGTACCTGGATGGAGGCCTGAGGCTGGATCACTTTAAGGGAACTGTGTTGTTTGGACTTCTGAGTAACCAGTAAGGTAATAAAGAAGCTGTTTTATGCTGGCTTGGTAAATCTAAGTATTGGAATATCCACCAGCTTTATGGGGATTGTCTGCCCCATTCTTTGCAGTTCACCCTAATTGAGTGACCATAGCTGGCCCCCACTGGGACCCTGGGCCAGGGCTGCCCGGGGGGAGGAGGGGGCAAGTGGGGCAATTTGCCCCAGGCCCCGGGCCCCGCAGGGGCCCCACGAGCCCTGGCCCGGTGGCGGTCCGGGTCTTCAGCGGCATTTCGGTGGTGGGTCCTTCAGTGCTGCCGAAGACGCGGAGCGACTGAAGGGCCCCGTGCCGCCAAAATGCCGCCGAAGACCCGGACCGCCGCCGGGTGAGTACAAGCACCGCAGCTCTCCCACTTTGCCCCAGGCCCCCTGAATCCTCTGGGCGGCCCTGCCCTGGGCACAACAACATCCCCCCACTTTTACAGATAGATACTGCAATACGGGATCATGGAGATTATTCCCCTGGTAATTTGTACTAACTAATTGGGCGCTGATGGCAGTTTAAACATATATCAATAACACACCTTGCTCCAGGCTGCTTTCTATTAGGAGACGTTGGCTGTGAGAGGCATCAGTTAAAATCTGGGCCAGATCATCAGAGACCCAGAGTCATCCTGGGTGTTTTTTGGGTGGCCTGTGTATAATGAAAAGAACAGGAGTACTTGTGGCACCTTAGAGATTAACAAATTTATTTGAGCATAATCTTTTGTGGGCTACAACCCACTTCATCAGATGCTATGCCAAGCATCTGATGAAGTGGGCTGTAGCCCACGAAAGCTTATGCTCAAATAAATTTGTTAGTCTCTAAGGTGCCACAAGTACTCCTGTTCTTTTTGCTGATACAGACTAACACGGCTGCCACTCTGAAACCTGTGTATAATGAGTTAGCCCAGTGGCTCTGTTCCCAGGCAGAAAGCATTCCTGTCACTGAGAGCATTATCACAACTGGCATTAATTGCCCCTCATGATAGCCTCTGGCTGGGCCTCAAGCTGAATCTGCCATGGAGACTGAATCACTCATACCCAAGTAGCAGGGGGAAAGCTTGCACAGCTGCAGCCCCTATCCTGTGAGTACATAGAGTTCAGTCTCCAGGGCTGCTGAGCCAGCAGCACAGAACAGAAAACAGCAGCATCCCCATTCTGGCCCACTATGGTATGTGGCTGTCCCAAGGAAACCTGCATCCTGTGGGAAGAAAATAGGGTTATCAAAAACACCATTGCCTCTTGGCATGGCCTGCCACATCCCTGCCTCCTTGCAGGCAAGCTGGTGCCAGCTCTGCTCTCCCCAGCCATCAAAGGACAGTACCTGAGGGACTTGTTTCCACCAATTATCCTTTTCTTGCGACGGTGAAGCAAGTGCATCCCACACATGCCAGATGCTGAGCCTGCACAGCAAAACCAGAACGGTTAGGCAGCTAGGGTGACCAGACAGCAAGTGTGAAAAATCGGGACAGAGGGTGGGGGGTAATAGGCACCTATATAAGAAAAAGCCCCAAATATTGGAACTGTCCCTATAAAATAGGGACATCTGGTCACCCTATAGGCAGCCCTCCCCTTTGCTTAACTGACAAGCATCAACCCATCACCCCCTGTTCCCTGGGGGGCCCTCATCCTCCAGGAAGTAGACTGGTCTGATTAAGAACTTTGCTGTGAAAGCCATATGTGCAGCACACTTGTTTCTGTGGGGCTGGTGAGAATGGTATTTGACCAGTACCGGGTTTACAATGGTGCCAGGCCCATGCTCAGAAGGGGCCCCAGCTCACTCCACTTGTGCTGCACTCTGACTCTGCTGTCCCTCCCTGGGGGGGAAGAGGAATAAGCTCCCATCTGGCCACTAGCTCCCCTCCCCCTTGCCAACCCCCCACGGGGGCTTCTCTCTGCCCCTGGGAGATCAACAAGGTAGGAGCCGGTGTGGGGTGGCGGGTGCCAGGAGCTGTGCACACTGGAGAGCAGCGTCTCCTCCCGGAGCTGGGTGTGTGGGGGGCCCCGGGCCAGAACTTCCATCCCCCTCGCAAGGCTGGACGCTGCTCCCCGCCTGCCCCAGCACCACTCAGGCTGGGGGTTGGAGTTGGATTGCGAAAGGGCTTTGGGAATGCGAGCTGCTCTGGGTCCGCTAGCCCCGGGGGGAAACCTGGGGTGCAGGGTGGGGGGAGTGGGTCTGTAGGGGGTGCTGGGCTCTGTGAGGGGGTGGAGGGCGCTGGGCAGTGGGGGAGGTTTGTGTGTTTTGGGGTGCTGGGCAGTGGGGGGTCTATGTGGGGTGCTGTGTAGTTGTGGTGGTGGGGCTGTAGGGAAGGACAATGGGGGGGGAGATCTGTGTGTGTGTTGGGGCACTAGGGAGTGGGGGTTCTGTGTAGGGTGCTGGGCAATTGTGATGGGGCTGTGGGGGGGTGCTGGGCAGTTGTGGGGCTGGGGGGGCACCAGGCAGGGTGTGCAAGGCACTGCATTTCTGGTAGGGAGGCTCTGTGGGGGGGGGGGGTCTCTGGGCAGGGGGGTGCTGGGCATAGCGGTCTGTGGGGGGTCTCTGGCATAGCGGTCTGTGGGGGGTCTCTGGATGGGGACGCTGGGCGTAGGGAGTTGGGGGCTGTTGGGCGCGGGGCGGGGCTGTGTGGCACGGCATGAGCCCGCCCCCCCAAGGGGAAAGGGCCCACTGGCAGCATAGGGCCAGGTGGGCCTGTGTGCGTCTGGCGACTGCCAGTTTGTAAACAGTGCCCTCACACTGGGCTGAGCAGAGTGGGGCCACCCCCACCATGCCCCATTGCCCCTGGCCGGCCCCTACCTCCAGGGACCCGACCTCTCCACACCATGTTCCATTACCCCCATGGGGGCCCACAAATATGTTTGGCGCTGGGCCCATAAAAGGTTAATCCGGCCCTGCCTTTGACTGGAGATGGTTATTCGCTGTGATTCTAGCTCCAAGCCTGGGGCAGGAGCCATTCAGCCCTTTCTGCAGAATCCACTTCCTCAGCCTGCTAGAGACCAAAGGGAGAGCACAGTTACTGCCACTCTGCACTGCACAATGGGGAGAAACACTGGTGGCCTGGATTTCCTGCAGGCTCAGAGGCACTATAAGGGGTGGAGCAGCAGTGGTGGCTGTGGGCAGCGCACAGTGACTCCAGGCCACATTTCTAACAGAAGACACTGAGATAAGGGGAATAGCTGCACTAGCGGCTGGGAAGCTCACATCTGCTCAGTGCCAGCCTCTCCCCAGGGCCACCCAGAGGATTCCGGGGGTCTGGGGTCTTCAGTCATGGGGGTCCTTCCACTCTGGGTCTTCGGGGCACTTCGGCGGCGGGTCCCGGAGCGAGTGAAGGACCCGCTGCCGAATTGCCGCTGAAGGCTCGGAGTGGAAGGAGCTCTGGGTCTTTGGTAGCGGGTCCTTCACTCAGTGCCGCCGAAGACCCGCCAAAAACTCTCGTGGGGGCCCCTGCGGGATCCAGGGCCTGGGGCAGATTGCCGCACTTGCCCCCACTCTGGGAGGCCCTGCCTCTCCCAGCAGGAGACTCTTCAGGGCAAGGGGCAGGAGCACCTGCGTTTCTGGTGTCCTGGGCCTTCTCTTCCATATAGTCGCAGATCACACCAGCATCTTCACTGTGCCAGCAGTTGTGAATCTCATTGTTGGGTTTGACGCATTCCCCCAGTGTGCGCTCTGTGCCACTGCACTCCACGTTGTCTAGATGGATGGGGCCGTGCCCCTCCCCAAAATACGCCATCGTCCTGGCTTTTGCTGCGCCACTGCAACGAGAGAAGGGATGACCCATCTACACAGAGGGTACGTCTACACTGCAGCAGGGAGGTGTGGTTCACGCTTGGGTAGACAGACTCGCACTAAAAATAGCAGTGTAGCTAGGGGTAGCAGGAGCAGCGGCTCAGGCTACAGGCCCAAGTATGGACCCCAGGGGTCCAGGCAACTCTGTACCCAGGTGACTAGCCCAAGCTGCTGCCCATGCAAACCCTGGCTATGCTGCTATTTTTAGCATGCTAGCTTGAGCGGAGCTAACCTATGTCTGTCTAGTCAGGCTGGAAAGAACGGTCCCAGCTGTACTGTAGACATATCCTGAATGTGAAGCAAAAGACTCTTGTGGCAATAATATCGGTTTCTCTGCATAGACGTACACTATTCCAATCCTGCAGTATGCCCAGCACCCCACAGCTGCAGGGTGTGTGTCAGCGTACAGCTATCCTGTACACACAGCAATGCTCAAACATACAAAACAGCCCAAATCTCCCTCCTGGAGGACAAGGCAGAAGGAAATGACCCCTGCTTACAAGTTACACCGACCGATCCTCTTACCTGTAACCCAGCTGCCTGCAAACCACAACTGCATCCTTGTCTGTCCAGCCATCGTCGCAGACACTGCCCCACTGCCCATTCAGGAACACCTCTACCCGCCCCTCCTTGGTGCTCTCTCCATCTGCCAGCCGCACAGGGGGCCCTGCACAAGAATAAGCCCAGTGATCATAACAAAGGGAAATGCATCAAGTGAGACTTGGGGATCTGGACAGAAAGCTGAATCCCACAGAACTGACATCAGAAGCCAGGAAACACCAATAGTTCTATCTATAAAGCAGCGTCCACACTCTCCACCAATCACCACATCCCTGCTGAAGAAGTAGGGCACTGGGTGTAAGAAATTAATTTACCACAAGCTGAATAAAGAGGGGAACATGAAAAGGAAGAGAGGGGGGAAGTTAATAAATATGGGGCCAACAGTGGGCAAGCGCACATGCACCTTGGGAATAGAATGATGAGCTTATTTCAAGTGGGAAGAGAGACTTCCTCCCCCTGGGAAAGGTCAGAAAGTCCTGCTGTAAAGCCAAATGACAAAATCCAGCTGGAGAGTCAGGGTATGCCTGCTGTAGGGAAGGCCATGGGGAATAAGGCCTTGTGTACATGAGGAAATTGAACCAATTTAACTAAATCCATTTACATACCAATTTCATTAAATGGGTGTAACCCCCTTGCATGGACACTGATTTCAACTTAACAGCCCCTGATATCCATTTAGCCTAAGTCCATTTGTCTTTGCAAAGTCCTTGCACTGATTTAACAGTTTCTAAACTGGTTTAGTCAAAAGGGTACAATGTTCCTCTGTAAACAAGGTCTAAGCGTCCCACTACTGAGCAATGGGCAGCAGCTCCTCCTTCCGCAATTGCGGCTCCCAGGGTTTCATTTCTATTTACAAGGTGGAGTCACTGCCAGTGGAATTCACGCAGATTTGCAAAAGAAAACTGCACATAGGGAAGGGGGAGATAGGCCAGCACAGTGGGAAGGAGAAGTGTGAGGGTGGGATCATGGGCTTGGTGGGGGCGTGAGAAGAACAGGCCAATGGCCATGCGGAACATGCCTTAGAAAATGTAATCTTTTAGCATCAGCAGGAAATGGTCACACTGTGCATCACGTTTAACATGTGGAACCATCAACTCGGTGGTCCGGCTATGGGATAACTAGGACTCTTCACAGCAGGTGCATAATCATAGGAGGAAGGCAACTGGAATCCCTTCCCCATAAGCAACCTCATCCATGGAGCAGTCCGCAGGCTAGGAGAGCTCCCGCCCCTCCCTTAATCTCCAGAAGGGATGGAACAGTAAGCCATTCCCTGCACCCTCTATTGAAAGAGTAAGAGTAAGGTACCAGTAGTGTCTTTGATGATCTTGTTGGTTTCAGGGGAGCATCGGACCCCCACATCTTCGGCATGCGAGCAGTCATGCTGCCCCCAGTTGCTGTGAGGACAGTCCAGGAAAGAGAACTCTGTGCCTGTACAAGCCATGTCGTCCAGTAGGATAAAGCCTTGGCCGGGTGTGTACTCCCCCTCAGACGCCAGGCTGGCAGGGCCACTAGGGGAAGGAAATGGAAAAGTACATCAAACATCATCTCTCACCACTCCCCAGAACCCTGCATGCTGACCCAACTCCCAGAGCTAGCTGGAGCCCTGTTTCCTCAAGAACCCGCACAGCCAAGGAGGCCAACATGGAGAAAAACTCGATGGTAAAGGAGACAAACCTTCCTAACCCATTCCATTGACTGACGTGACATGGGAAACAGTGTGGGAGGAGCCGGGACATCTCCATAGGCTCAGCTTCCCGGGGGACCTGATAAAACCAATCCACTGCTTGGTGTCCATCGGTCATACAATCACACTTGCATGTGCTTTGCAATTCTCACTAGGGGATGCTTCACAGGTATGACACCAGGGGCCCAGCAGGAGGGAATGGGCAGGGAGAGGAGTTGTTCCTTTGCTAAAAAAAAATCAACTTTAAGTATAAAATAGCCTATATTTCTATACTATTTTATGGACAAGATACACATACAGGAATTGTCTCACCCACCACTGAAATGCAGCCAACTCTGGAGTAGAACATGGCATCTGTTTAAAACTACAGAGCAGTTTAGGACAGGAAGTGAAAAACACTGTATCCAGTTGAAACTGCAGGGAGAAATTTAGTTTGCCATTTTGCCAACTGTCTAACTTGGAATTTGACAGGGACACCGGGTATCACCCCAATTCATACCAAAATGTGCAAGGGATCTTTAATGACTAGACTATTTTAGTTCTAAATCTCATCCAAAAGACAGCACTTCCCACACCCCTTTGGGGCATCAGTTCAGTACTGGCTTAAAGGGAAGCACCATCTCCACAATCACAAATACCACTGCAATTTTCCTTGCAGGTCTCCCATTCAAGTACTGAGCCAGCTGAACCCATCTGAACTGAGAGCTGATGAGCCCACAGCCCAAGGTCATATGGCTGGATATGTAAGGAGTATCCTTTAGAAGCACAGATCTTTCTTTCTTTAATGGGAGGAATCCATGAAGGTGGCACCAGGCATGTACACTGCTCTCTAAGTGGGCTAGGGGCAGAGAGGCTCAAGCTTAGCATTCCCTAGAAAGGGGCACTGGCACTTGCCCCGCTCTCTAACCTGGAAGGTACCAGAGAAAGGATTCACCATTCCCTGGGAAGGCTGGTAGCGTGGAGATCAGCTCTCTAACAAAGAATGGGCAGGAGACGCTAAGGCCCAGATTTCCCAGTGAGGGGACATGGCACCTAAACCTTTCCAATAGGGAACTTAGCCACCTGTAAAACCAGCTTCTCTAGAAATACCATCCTTCCAGTACCTGAAGCCCAGCTGCCTGCAGACCACCTGGGCACTAAGAGCCGTCCAGCCGTCATCACACACCGTGCCCCAGTCTCCCCTGTAATAAACCTCCACTCTCCCTTCGCTGGGGGTGCGGCCTCCTGCCAGCCTGACCGTGCCCTCTGCAGGGGACAGGAGAGGAAAAGGCAAGCAATTAGTAAAGGAGAAAGGAACCAATCCCCAGCCCCACCTCTGCTGACGGCTGTGTGCAGTCTGAGAGCGGGAAGAGAGAGCAAGTGCATGTTAGACTCAGCAGAGGAGCACCCTATTACTTTGCAGAAAGGCCTCGCAGACGCGCTCGCCCACAAGGCACAGGCTAGGACTCCCCTTGGCCTCTGCTGCACCCATGCAAGACAGTGGAAAGGCTACATTGTCTGGCTCTGAGTTGCTCCTGCCTCTGCCCCACTCTCCGCCCAGCGGGAAAGAGGTGCCTGCGCTGGAAGGAGGACTATGTTGAGAGGATTGTGGAATACAGGGGTGGGACAGGATGTACAGGGGGAGGTGGGGTGGATCTGTACCTGTGAAGGGATCACAGGACACTCCCGCATCCTCCATGTGATCACAGTTTTGCTGTCCCCAGTTATTCTTCTTGCACTGGTCCAGTGACAGCTCGTTCCCTGAGCACTCCACTTCATCCAGCAGGATTGGGCCAGAGCCCTGCCCGTAGTGAGCCCACAACAAGGCCTTTGGAGTCCCACTACAGAGGACACAGACACACACAGAGGGAGGGAAGATACACCTCCCCCCGCCCCCACCCTCACCTACAGTGGGACACAAAGTCTTGTGCATAGGGATGCTACCTTGGTTGGGGCCCTAGTTACAGCAAGGGGGCTGGCAGTCCGGGATTCTCCAGCTAATTCCACAGCTCATCTGCATTTCAGTCACAGTGACCTGCCCATTGACTAGCCCAATGTGAAACCTCAGTATCTCAAAGGCAGGTTTTGCAATTGGTACATGACAGTAAATAAGTAAAATCCATTTATTCATGTCTGAACATTGGTGACATGATTACATCATATCCTGGCAATTTGCTGGCAACGTGGATGACCCAGAAACATGGCAGGTCAAGGAGACAATCACATTTCAACAGCAGGGATGGGCAAAACTCAAACACCCAGGGCCAAGATTTTCAAAAATCAAATCTACAGTTAGGCTCCAAAGTCTCTATTTAGGCACCTCTCTAAGTGACCTGAGTTTCAGGGGTGCTGAGCACCTAGCAGCTCCCATAAAAGCACTGAAAAGTCTAGAGGAAGATGAATAGGAGCTACCTCTACCTCTCATGTGGCACAAGAACAAAGGGACAGTCAGTGAAACTGAAAGGCAATCCAATTAAAACTGATCAAAGGCAATATGCACCATTCACATGTGGCAGGTGGAGCGCATTGCTGCAAGGTATTACTGAGGCTAAGTGATTGGAAGGATTCATCAAAGGACTAGACATTTACATGGATGACAAGAACATCTTCCCTCTGACACAGCTGCTGCTGGCCACTGTGGGAGATGGGACCCTGAGCTGGATGGACCATGGGTCTGATCTACCCTGGCAATTCTTACGTCCCAAAGTCTCCCCAAACCCCATCACCAGCCAGAAGGGTACTTACCTGAACCCCAGTTGCCTGCAAACCACCTCGGCATCCCAGTCGTCCCATTGGTCATCACAGATGGTGCCCCACCTGCCGTCATGGTAGACCTCCACTCGCCCCTCAAAGCTCTCCTTTCCCCCAGCCAGCCGCAGCGGGACCCCGGCACCTGCTCTTCAGAAAAGGGAGCAAGCAGAAGAGAGAGTGCATCTGATGGCTGGGGATGCAGACCCATTACAGGGCTTCAGGATGCACCAGCACCTGCCCTGGCCTCTCCCAGCCACCTCTGAACACTAGTGACTGTGCTGTTAGCCCTCCCCTAGTGGTGGTGGTGGTGGGTGTTTGCCAAGAGATGGCTCACCAAAGGCGAGCCCAGGCACAGATGTTCAAGGGACGTCGATGAGCAGGGGCTATGCTCCCTGGGCAGAGGCCTGGCTCAGGGAACCCCTACTGAGGGCGAGGGGCTGCTCACTGCTGACATTTTCCACTGTTTTATGAATAGATTGTGGGAGAAGTGGAGCAGCTCCCTTCTGCCCCCACATGCCTCCCCTCTGGGTGCTCAGGGCTGGGAGGGGCTGGTTGTTCCTCAGCTGGAAACCGGAGCCCATTTTTACAGCAGTAAGTAGCCCAAGCCGAACCTGCATCATCTTGTCCATTGTTGCAACTTTACCAGCTGGGATTTTATATCCTGGTGGCAACACTGTGAATTGGGTCACTTGGCCCTGAGAGATGGGGGTCCCCTCCACATGTTCTCTCCCAGCTCCCTTCCCTGGGGATTTACCTGCAGGAGGAACGCACTCTGCTGCTGCGATTCCCTGGTTACAGGCTCTGGACGTAGCTTCCTGGTAGCCACACAGCAGCAGGGCCTTCTCATCCCCATGGCAGTTTGCCGACTGCAGATGGAGTGGAACTGGCCCCAAGGCAGCATGGCTGTTCTTCCCAGCTGTGCCTATCTCACTGAGCAAAGAGAGGAGAGCACAAGGACAATACTAGCATTTCTGGTCTCCCATGTTTAAAAAAGATGAACTTAAATTGGAACGGGTGCAGAGAAGGGCCACTAGGATGATCAGAGGAATGGAAAACCTGTCGTATGAAAGGAGACTGGAGGAGCTCGGGTTGTTTAGTCTGACAAAACGAAGGTTGAGGGGGGAGATGATTGCTCTCTTTAAATATATCAGAGGGATAAATACAAGGGAGGGAGAGGAATTATTCCAGCTTAGTACTAATGTGGACACGAGACCGAATGGATAT